AATATATTGAAAGAGGAGTAGAAGAAAATGAATTGAATAAAATTCCATCTCATTGCAATGTTTTCTGTTTAGGTTAAATGCGAGAGCCCTGACAGAAGGAGAGAAGGAAAAAAAGCAGACTAGGAAAAGAGAAGACATGAATTCCAGAGAGTTTGTCGGTTTTTTTTTTATTGTTCTCCTATCCAATATAGAAAATGTGTGCGGAGAATGCTAAAATCGTTAAAATACAATTGAGAATTGTAATAACAAGTGACAATTGGAGGCAGTTTTTTCTCGTTCTTGTTCTTACAATCTATTCAGCATAAAATGTCTATCTATATGTGCGTGCTCGACAGTCTTGTCTTTTTGCCAAACAAGTGTTTCTCCATGTGAAATTTGTTGTTCGAATTTAACCCCACGAGTTAATGTTACTTGAGAGGTAATACTTGGCAAAGTGAGCGCAGACTGCTGCATATTGGAAAATTCTATTGGAAATTTACTTTGGGGGATGATTTTTCAAGTGAACAACAATCAAATAAGTCAAGATTATCTCATATTGTTCACTATTCTGCAGGATTCTGCACTGCACACATTTCATTTTATCATGAATCGCAACGAATGATGACAATTTGTCCGCTCTTTGTGCGATGTTTTGTTCATCCGCAAAGCAGATGTCATATAAAGATTATGTTAGAGTATAGGAAAGGATGGAGTCCCAAAATGTGGCGGTTTGATGAAAAACACTGGCTAGACACGGAGAGCATTCAACTACATTTAATGTGTTGTGAGGTGAATAAATGGGAAAAACGACTGTGCTGCACATATTTTGTGCATTTAGCTTATCTTCAAGCCATCGCGAATTTTAAACGATACGCCAGTGAGGTATCTAAAGTGTTTGGCAGGAATTTCAATAATGTGCCTCAGATTTCTTCTTTAGTTCTTCGATGGAAGTAAATTAAGAGACGAAAAAAATCGCGAGGAATGGCGATTAGCAGTGATTGGGAGATTAAAAACTAACAAAAAGTCGTTGGTCTCGAGCTCAAGGCAAGCAAAACACAAAGATAAGCGCGGGATAAGGTTGTAAATTCTGATGTAAGATTGGATAAGATATACAAATTGGTCGATTCAACTCGCAAGATCCTATGATGATAGCAGTCAAATTTATTGCAATGACACATAGAAATGCTCGGAAAGTTGGAAATTCCTTTTGTCCAGAATTTATTCAAAAATTCAACTTAGCATAAACCGACTCACAGAGACTATAGATATTCGTATTAATGTATCAGATGTATGGAAAATGCGTGACATGCTTGTGCGCGTTAGATAACTTAACGAGAAAAACAACAAACTGATTTAGACGAGTGAGTAATTCGTATTTCTAGTGAATTCCGGATCATATTTGCAATTGAGCACGAATACAGCGCTAATATGTATGGGATGATTTCAGCACAACAATAATAATAATAATTTTCAGTTGGGCAACACACAAATACACTCGTGGTGTGATAAAAACAATGACAGAGCATTTATTTTGGAGAAGTTGTGTGTGTGTATAGTACAGGGAAGAAAAGAGAGAGAGAAAAAACTAATGTGGGCAAGAATAAAAAACATAATTACAATCTGTGACTGAAAAATCATTTCTCATTTAACTGTGGCTGTTGTGATGTCTTCAAAACAACGCCCACAATTTGTTCTAAAAGATTTTCTCTCGCAACTGCACGAGGGAGTGAAAAATATAAATTGTGTACGGAAATTCGTTATTTATGACTCTGGCTTTACGGTTATACAATTATTTGGATATGTTTTTTTCTCTCTCTCTCTCTCTCTCCCGCGCGTAACACTGGATGGCATCAATGATGACTTGTCGCTATTCAATTAGCATTGCGAAGGAGGATTTTTTCCTCCGACGAGAGATGAGACTGTCGCGTGAGAGAAAAGGAGGTGAATCTCGGTGGAACATTTCAGGGGTATTGGAAATAATGAAGTGTTTCACGATTGGCAAACCCCATAAAATCCCACACACAAGAGCACCGAGAGATGGGGCTTACTCAAGCGATAAATAGGTATTATGACGATAATAATTCCAGCGAGATAGGAAATGAATGAAATTCCTTATGGTCTGACTTCATACATTGCCTCATATGCGAAGTGAGAGAAGACGTTTAATAATAAAATACTGTCGAGTTGTGAGACGCTGTCGCAATTTTATTCCTTTTGTCTCCTCCTCGAGACTCTGGGGAGTTGAAAATGTTTGTTCTGTCGATGAGAGGAAGTGCTGCTAAATTGAAGATCCCAGTGTATTGGGAGAAGATGTGTATATATATGTATATAGTGTGTCTTCAGTATATGGTGAAAAATGTGGCGAAATACTATCGTCGAGAGTCGCTTTTCGGAGGAGCATCACACAAATCAAATGCATCCTCCTCCAACCGTAATGAATTAATGCAAGAGATGCCAAGATGCAGTCTCCAAACACATTTTCCCGTCCATCGCTCCGGCTGTGATTTCGCTCATGAAGGCGAAACGGAAGTGGTTTGCGAGTATTTTTCTCCACTTAATATCCGGCGTATCTTATTTATATACGTAATGTCATATCTTTGTTCGTGTTTTTTGAATATTTGACCATTACTCTAGTCAACTCATTAAGAACATAATGAATTACTTCACGTGGTTAAAGACATGAAGGTGAAACAAAAGAAATCTTTCTAATGACTTTTCTCTTAATCACTTAAGTGCTTATCTCTGGGGAGAAACGCTTTCTTCCTCACTGTCATTTAAAGTTTATACTATGATTATATGTAGTTTGAGATTGAATAAAAAGCTCATAAAATTTTTCACCCGAACACTCTTTCTGGTTTGTGAACTATTGCAATATTGTAAAAACGAATTTATACCAAAGTATATACATATAGTATTTGCTGTGGTTCAATTTATTTAAAAGTGTAATTTCTCACAATCTTATCACCACTCGAGTGTGATTCCGCAGCATTTGAGTATAATTTTTTGATCTCTCTCACACACACTTCACTGAGAAAAAGAGAACTGATCACGGAAGCTGTATCACATTTGGCGATATTCGAGGATAGTTGTTGTATCTGTTCGTGGTTTGAAAAGAGTTTGATGCTAAGGAATTGCTTAAGTTTCCTTAACTCTATCGATTAGCATCGGTGGATGATTTCTCTGAGTGAAAATGTATATAGAGAGAGATTGCTCTGTGGCTCGTGTGCTCCAAATTGTGCATAAATTAATTTGTGTTTCCATGAAAATGAGGGTGTAGTGAAATGAAGAAAATATCATGTGATCCCCTTTCACAACTATTTCCATTGATTTTATCCTGACAGTGCTAAAGGATGAAGGGCAAAAAATCTCTCAGTCGGGGTTTACTCTTGACATCCTCTTATCATTGGCATTTCATCTATGAGATTGCGGCTTAAGATGCTTCTCCCTCCCCCATTGCTGAGCTCTAGGAACAGAGAAAACATAGTTGGTTGTGTGAGATGGAAAAATCTAATCTTCAATTTCCATTTTCACTAGATTGTCTCTCCACTCTTCGAAAACGCGTGTGTGTGTGAGCTCTGGATATTTACTAGAGGATTTAAATTATGAATTGAGTAGTGCGTGTTAGACATTTTGTGTTCAGCAGGAGAAAACAAATTTATAAGACATCCAACATGGTTTATTTTGCTCTGTGTGTTTCCGACGCCGCAAAAAAGGGGGAGTGGGGAAGAGGGGTGGAAATTGTGGTGGAGTGTACTTCTGCCGCCGCCCGGCGTCGTCAGGAGGAAGAGAAGAACGAATGTCTGGAGCTAAAATGACGGTTTGTGTGTATGTGCTGAATGTGATAAGAAGGTCAAAATTGGAGAAGTTGAGAAATGTGTGTGACTGTGTGGATTACGTAATTGAATTTTCTTAGGCTAGGTTAGGAAGAATATTTTAGCATAAAGCCAGATATCATTTTCCCGCCCCGCACTGCCGGCCTGATGGTTAGACAATTTATTCAAAAACATCATGTCTCGAGAGACGATTGTCGCACAAGAGAGACGACCAAATAAATTGGTATGGCTGGTCATTTTGGTTGGATATTTCTTCAGCCGCTCGATTTTCTCCACATCATTTCGGCAGATTCGGATATTTTATCAGAGAGCATCACATTTTCTTGACGTTTTCTCTTCTACTTTTCAAATGGCTGAATGTCGCACACGAAGACGGGAGAAAAGTGGAAGAAAATCAATGAAATTTTCACTGAATCATAGAGTCTGCAGTTTTACTTTTCTCCTCAGCTCACTATTTCAATTCCTTGAGATAATCAAACCATTCGTTCTCTCTCTTTCTCACTATGTCGGTATATAAATTGCTCTGGGTGAGCAATTGCGAGAAGTCATTTGAATTCGATCGTAAAAATTGAAGAAATTCGTGGAATTTTTTCCAAGGACTCCAACGCAAATAAACACGCATAAGACTCATTGATGTGGGTTCTCTCGTTTGGTTGTGGAGTTAAATAAAAAGTAATGATTTCATTGTTTTGCTTCTTAACTCTCGTCTGGCGTGTATATACATTTTAGAGAGTTTCTCTAGTATATTGCCTTAGAGCCTTTTCCCCGGCCTTTTCGCGCGCGCCGCGCTTCATCTAGACGACAGTCATAATTTACAGATTACATTGTTGATGGTGTTGATTCTGCTGAAGTGAAAATTTTGAATAATCTCTTTAAGAGCCATCAATAAAAATTATCATTTAGTAAATTAGCCAATTTGTAGGAGTGAAGAGCGACAAGGCAAACGCAAAGTATTTTTATCACTTTTGGCCAAAGTTTCTTCGCATACCGAAAATGTCAGTGGGGGAGGAGAGACACATTCGCACACCCAAATACACTTTTCCGCACCCTCTGCGAAGCATCGTCTGTTTCTAGGCATGAGAAATTGTGTTTAGGGGTGATTTTCTCAAGGGTTCTCTTCCCCAAAGTTATGGCGTCAAATGTCGGAGTGTAGATGATGTAATTTTTCTCTCTCTCTCTCACCCGCAGAACACACGTGGTCCGTTCAAGTTCAGCGCAAGGGTTTGGCTGAGGATAAGGGCATTATTGGGAACTATCACTTGTGTCTCACGGAGAAGTCCCTCACGCTGGTGCGTGTGGGAGCCGCCACGACAACAGGCGGAGACCACAGGCTGGGCAGCGTGGAGTTCCTCCTCACCACGATCCGGCGCTGCGGCAACACTCAATGCTTCTTCTACATGGAAGTTGGCCGGCACAGTGCAATTGGTGCTGGAGAGCTCTGGATGGAGACACAAGATCCCTTCATAGCGGAGAACATGCACCAGACAATTATCACGTAAGTTCGACTCGTTGAGACACTTTTCGAATATAACATTCTCATCCTGATTTATCTGCCTGTGTGTAGCGCATCGGCGAGCTGCAAGAATCGCGAGGACTACATTGGGCCAGTGAGACCGCGATCCTCGTCAGCCAATGAGGCGTCGAAGCCCATCTCGATGGCGATGCGGCGTCAGACCCATGTCGGCCAGAAGCCCATGAATTTTTCACCATCAGGTGGTAAGTCAAATATTGTCACACCCCCGCATTCTCATTTCTTTGCACCGCCCACCCTTCGGGGCAAGAAGCGAAACATCCACACCAGAACCTATATTTTCACCAACTCTCTAGTGTATATTTTGGCCCTTAATTGTAGAGAAATGAAACTACCTAAAGAGTCAGTGGATTATCACATATTCATTTATCCACTCTTAGCGTGTATGAATTCGATTTTTCTGAAATTTTTCTCCTTATATGTAAATATAATTAGTGAGAATTCATACCTAAAGTTGGCTTTAATAGTTACACATTTTGATTAGATTTTCTCTCTTTTTCCACTCACATTGTAAATTTTCTTCCCCTCTTTTATTCTCTTGAATTATAATTGATGTTGTGGCGTTAAGTAGAATAGTGTTTGGTCATGCATTTAATTAATCAATTTAATAACAGTTAAAGTATCGTAATTGGCACTGTAGCGTTTATTTTGGAAATGATTTAGTGTTCCCTTATTAGCGGCATTTCATAAATTAAACATAGGAATTGAGTATTAGAAATTCACCCTTTCCCTCGTATTTTTTGGAGTGCAGCTTTAAGACGAGTAGTTAGAGATCTCTAATATGTGTTTTAATCCCACCTGTAACTTCGTAATTGTGATTAAACCTAATTTATTTATCAATATGATTGTATATTTTCGTTCATTTTCAATTTGAATTATATCATTTCACATTGTGTTTCACTTTTACAAAATAACTTATCATTTTTATTACTGTTTCCTATTTTCGGAATTTATTTTCTTGAGGAAGACTTGTTTAGTTGATTGTGAATGCATTCTATTTCGAAATTTTTGTTATGTTCTACTTTTGCGCATTCATTTCTTCTGTAACATTTTATGTAATTTAGTGAGAGGCAGAAAACTATGTCAGCTGAAGGAGTAAAAAAATTTGCACAGAAATTGCATTTAAATAGATTCTGTCGTCTCTTGAGTGTCTCTTTGTCCGTTGTTTTTTTTTTTCAATTGAAACGGTTTCGCGCAAGGATAGAAGAAAATGTATTTCTTTGGCAATTAGAGAAGCACACGCTTTTTTCCAAATTTTATCTATTTTTCGTATGTTTATGTGGTTCCACATAAAAATCTTTTCAATTGGAATTGATATAATTTAGTGATAAGAAACATAGGCTAAAATGTTAGTCTTAATTGGCATTATCACACACAATTCTTTTGGGTTAGGTATATTCATAGTAAAATATAGAGTATATGCAAAATAAAATGAATATTTGAGAGGATACGAAAAAAACAACAAAAAATTCTTTGGTGCAATTTGCAGAAAGTCCACCAGCAAATGCGTCTACTTTTAGTACATGTAGTTCAGCTTGCACAGTTGTTCAGGCCCCGAATTTCAAAAGTGCACAACAGGACACTTTTTCATGCCACGATGGAGGCAGTCCAGAAAAGAATCCTCTGACCTGTAGTCACGAGGAGGACATGATCCTAAGTCAACATGATGGTACGCCAAATTGAAATTATGCAAAATTTATTTACCATATGATTATCCAAAAATTTATATACTATGTCTTTTTAATTGCCAATTGGTTGCATTTGACTCCTGTTTTTATTTTGTCTAATTGGATATTTTCATTTGATTGAGGCGAATGTTGATTTAATCTCACCATACAAATCATCATAATTCATTCATTTCATCTCTATCACAATTGTACCAGCATTTTTTTCATGTCATTTCTGGCGAGAAGTAACTTATAATGCAGATAAAATGCTATAATACATTCAATGTGTCTCAATCGCAAGCTTAGCTTAGCACAAATAGTATCGCTGCATTATATTGAATTTCATGCAATTAAACCACACACAAAATCATCTTTAAGGATTTCTCCTTGACGAAGGAAATGCGAAGTTAGTTGCTTAATTTCTCAGCCTTGGTTAAGGAGAATTCTCAGTATGACATCAGGGCTAAATGGGTGGAAAAGTTAACTCACGAGGGCAATATTGTCAGTGTCTTGTCAGATGGTTTTTGGCTCATAAAAAATTATATTCCTCATCATAGTGAAAATTGTCCTCTCTTGACACGAGAAATTGTCAAGAGAGTCCTGAAGTGCTTGAGAAAGTTTTTCTTCTCCTTTATTTCTTCATGTGTTCTTCGTGTTTTTTTTTTCCTTGTCTTCCCTGAGAAAGATGTGAAATAAGAAGCATGATTTTGGATAATGACTTCTGCAATTGAATACTATCTCTATATAGCTTCAAGAATTCACACAGAACTTTATATGCATGCAATCTGCTTTATGCAATCTACTTGCAAAATATATTTCAGATTTAGAGATATACTTACATATGTATAATTTCCCACTCCATGTCCTTTTCCGTCTGTTGAAGCGGTTTGTGAGAGTGTGGAGAAAGAAGAAAAAAAAAGAACTAGAATCCTCTTATTGTTTCCAAAATGTGTGCAAAATTGTTTAACGTGTTGGATAATGTTGCCATGCCGCAAATATATATTCTCATCCGCTCTTCCATATGTGTGATGCACAAGATTAATCCGATAAATAAGAATGGGATTGGAGATGCTGTGCGCGCGGGGTGTGTGAGAGTGAAGGGAGTTTAGAAGAAGGCCAGATTAATTTATTTCTATGTGTTTAGTGAGAGCACATATGAGGGAAATAAATTATTCGGAATATCACGGAAACTTTTCCAATTTTCGTTTTTGGCTATTTGTAAATGATTCGCCATGGCGTTAGTCGAATTGGCATCAGGTGGTCGCTTTACTTCTCCCTCTTTCTTTTTAGCGTCTCTGGATTAAGAGAGTTAGCGCTGGTGGGGAAAATTCAGTTGTACAAAAAATACTAAAGATAGTCGATATGTTCTTTAGAGGAAAAATAGATGAAGAAACTTTTATTAGGAAATTCGTCCATTAACTTTCTCACAAATAGATAATAAAATTATATCTTTACATCTACTTTTTTGATTTTACATGCATTTCCTTTGTAGTCACCTTTTAAGAGCTCCCAGTTAATTTACCTTAATGTGAAACATCCTATTTGATTTTCTTTCCCCTTTAGCGCATTGCTTTTAACTCCACTAACTTCCGACCTATATATATATAAATATAATGTTGTCTTGTGTGAAGGAGTTCTAATTTGCGAGAGAATTGTATTAACCCAGTGATGATGGACGATACCAAAAAAAACAACCATTGCTGCTTTCTTACAGTCATGTCAACCACTTCTAATTGTTGCTCTACTATCATCTCAACAACTACTCCTGCCATAACAAGAACTACTTACAATCCGCAGTATCCCTCGACGGCCCCATTGCGCCCTTTGATGGCGCAGAGGCGTCATTCGGTGTCAGGTACCATTAATTTTGCTCTAGCACCCACTTTCTTATTAACTTGCGAGTCTCATTTGCTAGTCATCCCACACACTTTACAACTTTTTGATCCTCCGTTCTCAAAACTTTGAGTCTCTTGCTGAAAAGTCTGTATGGACCCACTTTTGGGTATTTTCTCCAGCGAGTAAATTATATAATCTGCAAAGTGTCCGATATACTTTTAAATGTGCACACGCGAAAGAGAGACAGAGAGAGAGAGAGACTCTTAGTAGTGAGAATTGAGGAGTAATATTAGCGATTGTGTTTGATGAAGTTCCCCAGTGATCACGCAGTACGGAGTGATTGAAAAATGGGAGGATGTTTGACCTCTCCAGATTGGTATTTGTAGTGTTGAACTCAATTTTCACAAAGAAAATTTATGCTTTATTAACACTTTACCCAATACGCGCTGGAAGAGTATAATCAGCATAGTTTTGAGTTGTAAATTGTTTTCATTAGACAGAATTTACAGCATTCCTTTCACCCCGCTTTATACCATCTCTTTTTACATCCAAACCTTCTTTCTTTTCTACCTATTTCCTGAATTAATAACTATTTATTATACGGTTTATTTGACAATGTTACACTTCGATGCGAACATCATCGTTTGTCCCACAAAGACTTTACTGGGTTTCATTCACTTGTTGGCGCCAAATTGAGGATAATGCAGTAGTTAATATATGGCAGAATGATGAATGACAGAGTTGAAAAATCTCTCAATTTGTAACCAATATTATGGCGTTACTCTTCTTCCCATGATTTGTCATGTGTTAAGTCATAAAAGCAATTAAGGATAATTATAGTTTTATAGCGTCTCATTTTATTTCATCAATGAACATGTAATATTGAAAATTAGAGTGTGTAACAGTGGCTTTTTTGTGCGGTGTCGAAGGCAACAACAACAACAAAAACTGGGAAAACACAGTCAATAGGGAGAGGGCATAAAAACTGGCATTAGAGGAAGTTAATTGAGCTCTCTGTGACGAGAGAGGGAGAGAGAGAGAGAGATGAGTGAGAGAAACCTTCATGCAAAAATGGAATCGTTATCGGGATTTGTTGCCCTTGTGAGGAGGCAAAAACTATACACAGAGAAAAAAGGCATTGAGAGCAGAGCCACAGAAAACGGAGAAAAACTATAGCATTAAAATCGATAATGATTTATTCACACCATAATCACCAGTTGTGCCTGGCTTGGGAGAGTTCTTTGCATAAATTTCGAATTGCACTTTTAATGACCTCCTCTTATCAGTTGCTCAGAGCGGGCAGGAGAGGCTTCAGTTTGCCATGCAAAAGTTTGAATTTTGTCGATTCCGCTTGCGGAGTTTCTCATGAGGCAGCGGCACGATTTTTCCTTGAACTTACCAACGGAAGTTTTGATGATCTTTTCTGTTGTGCGCGCGCGATTTGGTCATGCACAAACTGTTGTAATAGAGAGTATAATGTTTGTGGATTTCCCAACACATGCCAATTGATATCATATTGATAATCTTGCGGCGAGCGTGGGGTGAAAAAAAAAGAAGAAGATTGGTGAGAAATGGAAGAGACAGAGGGAAAAAACACCACACAAATAGTAATTAATAAATGGAAAAATACAACCATTTATTCAATGAGCAATAATTTTCCATTCGGAGCAAATTGAGTTTTC